AAGCCATACTTCAAATGCTAATGCTGTCGGCTTAGCAGTATCTTTCTAGAGGTAATACAGCACTGTATAGAGGCGCGAAGTAGTGAACCACTCAGGCTTGGTAGACTGTCTCTCGACCCCGATACTGGAAAGCAACTGTACGGAGTTCGGAACTACATCTTCATTCCATATGCAATACGCAGCTCGAGACAAAGTATTTGTACAGTTGAAGAAATGTTGATTTTGCAAAATTTACTAGTAGTCTTTAAAGCTGATCTTTTCTTCTGCCAAGCGATGAATCATTTTATGAATGTATTTCATTATCCCCTACTTTTTGAAGAGTTTAACCCCACCGCTTATCCAGACCCAAAAAGGGGGGGTGTCAGTCGTCTAAGGCGCCGCGATTTGCTGTGCAGAGTTGAGTTCCTTGGGCACGCCAGAAACCTATGATTGTGGGTTCGAATCCCGGTTCGCCCCGATTATGTTTCTAGGTGTGTCAGCACCATACCCGTGCTCGTGGGTTTCACCGAAGTGGTAAACGTATGAGACCTGCATCACTTCGGGCTTTCCTCCCACATTAATCTGACACGCCGCGATATAACTGTATTACTGTTGAAAGCGGTGTTAAACCCGACTCACTCTCTCACTCAATTTAATTTTCGCTGTTTTTCTAGGAACCCACGACAGATATCTTAAAATGAACTCGACTGTTCGGAAAGTCGAATGGGACCACACCATGTTAGATCAGCTGTTTGACTTCACGACATACACGTCACAACATACGAGGTCAAACAACCGTCTGTTAGCCTACAGAATTAAAATTGCATATTCTCACATCATTGAACGGAAAAAACAAAGCGTTTTCCCTTAGCTGACACTACAGATAACATATCAAATAAAAGTAAAAGACTTGCGATAGATCATCACACTATAAACGAGAGTACACTCGACATCATTAATTGGTAAATCTAAAATTAATTAGATCCCATATCCATTGCAGAATGTTGTAAATCCGAACTCTTGTTCGAGATATGATAATTTATTCCATTTTGTGAGGAGATGTACCATGTGTACTTCATAATATACAAGTGAAGCTTGTCTGGCGTGTTCAAAAATGATTCCTCTTCGTATGTTTGAAGGTGTTGCCTATCGGGATCTGTACAGACACCGTCACGACCATGATGGGCAGTTTGTACAAGATGACGGTTTTGTCCTGTTAGACTGCAGAGAGAGACTATCGGGATACAGCTGGGTGATGGGTATTGATGTTGATGAGATCATTCTTCCGAGGAGAAATGTCGCTTTAAAACCGTTCATCTATGTAAGTGATACTTGATTTTTTCATAGTTGACATGGTTCCTTTGCACCGGCAATGCCATGTTGTTTTCTAACACTTGTTGAAAGTTACGACCCCGGTGAAGATCCGGGTTAAAAGTTGTCTTCAGCAACCCATGCTTGTAAGGGCGACGGATGGGATCGATGCTCATGATGCCAATTAGTGATTGTCTGGTCCAGACTCGAATATTTACACACCGACGTCATATACCTGAACATTGCTGGGTGCTTCGTTTAAAAAACCCATAAAACTTTCAAATATTAAAAGTAGGCAAAATGGGCGATGGTCATCAAAACAATAGCCCAAGATATTAACAACAACGACACACAGACAAACAAACAAAGGTAGGTAGGTAACCTTATATCGAAATCAGCATCTATTTACCATAAAAAGCTAACAACATGTCAACTTTCCACCAGCATACGCTGTTGAATAGGCATTGTGTGATATTACTACTTTTTTCCTCAAATCTCCCTGACACAGGAACTAACTGCCAGGTACCCACAGGCAGCAAGGTTCCACTTCTACATCATGTTCCACTACACCAGCCACGGCAAAACCAGGAACCATTATTCTGGCATGGAACACTTCGACTACTATAGGTCGACCCCACCTCAATGGAAGGCTTTCAAGTACCTTTATATTCCGGATAGAGTGACGGTTCCAGAAACCCATCTGCTCTACGCCAAATCCCCTTACACAGTGTAAGTAGAAGAGGTTAGAGGTTTAGGCGAAATCCACTGACACAGTGGAACGGTTACCTGGTTTAAAGTAGTTTCACGATCAATAAAATCAACACCTATCGCATCTTTGAAGAGAACCGAAAGGAGATTGTGACATGTCAGATGACAATTCGGTTCCATCAGTGTCGCAGTTAGCTTTAACCATTGTTAATGTATGCGAATAAGAAGGTTTTACAGTCACACTTATCTAAGTCACATGTTTTATACTAGATACTTTCTTTGAGGCGCAACAGAAGAGTTTAAGTGTTTTAAGAGATTATTGCAGCTGGTAGGAGTTTATATTTATCAAAACAGATATCTATTACCTTGTCCTTGCACAAGAAGAGCAAAGTAAGTCTTTTGTCAAGCAATGCAATGTGTTGATCTATAATTTCAAATATGTATATACATCAATAAAGACCTGTTTAAGAATCATTCGTTGCCATATTTTCACACTAGTTGCCCTGTAAACACTTGGGCATAATAACTATTAGAAATCTGTTTTTCTTTCAGACCTCGTGTGTCCTCAGCTGATGGTGTTGTTCATCACGTTCGTTCATGTCATCGTCCTGAGAGCGTTTGCTTCCCTCCAGGCTCGGTTATTGATGATTCTCTTCTGAGATTTGAAGCCGAATTGCCACAGAGAGTTAAACAGGCGATGAAAGAAATTGTGTAATTGTTCGTCATTTTCGTTTGCTGTTCTGCAGGTGTGGAACCTGTTGACAAGCGGGCGAGTTTCGGTGATGCTGATATTGACGGCAACACCCATAACGGCCTCGAGATCATCACCGGCTTTCATTTTGAGCTTGCGAACAATTCATATAAAGTTTAACTTGTAAAGGGATGAATAATTAATTTCGTTTGGAGTTTGTTGTGTACTTTTTAATCCGGCGATTGAATAAATATATACTGCTCCACTGTCTTGATAACTGGGTTTCATCGTACCACGACAACATGATATTCTACACATGATTATTTACAGGCTTACGTGATCTACATGTAATATTGTTGATAAAACAACACCCACTCACTCATCACCAACGCGAAAAGGAGCATGGGGGATATGTTTATTCATCATTGTGTTCATGTTCACTGTTAGTACTCGTCACGATATGCCTGAAATACTGCCGATGTGACGTTAAATATTAACTCACTCACTCACCCACTGTAAGTATTAGAGCTCAGGAAAGTCAAACTATGCTGAGAGAAAAGTAGTGACTTTGAGATCGAATCCATATGACAGTCTGGATCCCATGTTGTGATGCGGCAATGTAAAAATCACATTCCACAAGCGAACTCTTGGTATCATCACTGTTTGATGGTGATTCATAAACACATACTCATGATATAGTCGGAGGAGTACAATCGGCTCTGCTTTCAGCGGAGATTTCGTATGGATATGGAAAGGGCTTTGTCGCGTTTGTTTACCGATAAGGTTTCACATATGTAACAAAAGTCTTTATCTTGTAGTTCAAAGCCGTATTGTTCATACATTAATATTGGTTGTGTTGCTTCACACAGTGAAGGAATATTTGTATCTCTAAGATTAACATACTTGGAAACCAATAATTTTAATGCAGTCGTTTCAAAATGTGAAAGACCCGTGAAGATCTGGGGTAGAATATGTATTCAGCAACCCATGCTTGCCGTAAAAGGTGACTATGCTTGTCGTAAGAGGCGACCAACGGGGATCGGGTTGCCAGGTTCGCTGACTTGGTTGATGCATGTCATCGTATCCCAATTGCGTTGATCGAGGCTCAAGATGTCATACCGCCGCCATGTAGCTGGAATACTGCTGAGTGCGGCGTTAAACAACAAAGAAACAAAACAAAATGAGAAACGTTAAGATAAAAAAGTTAAACATTATCCACAACTCGTGTATGGGAAACGTCGGCCTCATCTCATCGGTCGGCATTTGCCTTGGTGTCTTCCCTAGGCTTAATTGTTCTAATTAAAAGCTTTCTTTCTAAAACTGACATGTACATTTTTCAACTATTTGCAATTCCTAAATGTAATAGTTATTTATCATTTAGGTATATATGAATGCTTAGGTAAACATCGGAACAGTAACATATTGTTTTCTTGTAAATAATGAAATAAACACTACAAAGTAATGTTTCGATATATTTTTTTCCATCAATTCATATGTCATCGTTGTAACCAAATACTTTATAAAGGAATGTACTCTTCAAAATAGCATAACCGAACGTGGAACGTAATTATGAGGTTTGCGAACACAGTGTTACATATATTGCAATAAATGTTTAAAGTTTGCATCGAATTTGTCTTCAGCAACTCATGCTTGTCTTAAGGGGCGACTAACGGGATCGGGTGGTCAGGCTCGCTGACTTGGTTGATGCATGTCAACGTATCCTTATTGCGTACAACGATGCTCATGATTTCAATCACCAGATTGTCTTGTCTTGCCGCGTTAAACAGAAAGCAAGAGGTTCTCTCTTGTTCCACGTTCACAGTATTTTGCTCGTTGCCTGGGGCGACAATACCTGACCCTGCCAATTGTCAGACAGCTTATACCAAGATTAGTCAAGTTTGGTTAGTCAAGCAATAGTTACCTGTTTACCTTTCATGATGTCGGCGAAACATACCTTCAGACATCGCTAGAAGTAATGATTAAGCTTGCACATAGCGAGTTCTCATGCGCAAATAAACCATGACTATGGTTTAGTTATTGCTCTTATTTTTCTTATTTATCATCCATGTATGCTTATAACAAGACTTTATTCGTGTTCATTACCTTTAAGAACTGCCATAAAAACATATTACTGCATTCAGTCAGTGAGACTTATCTCCCCTGAATAGCAGACGACAATGCACGGCTAAAGTAAAGATGTGTTGTTTTTTTATGTTTATTGAATTAACCTTCCTTTCTGACTTTAATGTCATTAATACACAATGTTTTTTGCAACATTCATCTATATGTTCACGAAAATGAAAAAACTCGTTTTTCCTCCCTGCACGTTCTTCAGAGTCCATCTCAGTTGTCAAAGGTCAGGCAAGAGACCAGTCATTATGACAAAATGTGTATACATGCATATACGTAATATTAAAGTTTATAACAAGAAATTCATTGTAAATAAATACACAGCAAATTAATATGACAGTCAAATGCCATAGGCGTTTATTCAATCTTTTTAATACTGACAAATTTTGTGCCAAGGTGGATTTTGAAATTGAAACATGATGGCGTAAGGAAGAAAATTAATATTTTAGTAAGCACTTGATATATTATCTTGCAGTTTGGACTAGGATAGTGTACACACATATCACATTTGATAGCATATAGAATTGTTCTCCAAACAAATGCTTAATCACACCCTTGATTTGAGAAATACAAATCATAATCATTTTTTAAATGATATGTTTTGGTGAAAATCTTGTTATTTACATCAATTTTCATAACGTATTATTTATGAATAACGATCTAATCAGCACCATCATGCCATAATGTTACTAAGAATGTTCAAAAAGATGAAATGCATGACAACCTAAAACACCATTTCGGGGCATATTTGCTTCAGGTGTGGGGTATAAGAATGGCTCGTTGTTCATAATTTGAGTTTACATAGTACATAGAAATATTCACTGAGTTCAACTAAACCAAACTGTACAGTATAGACCTGTTATGTAGTGGATAGTTGAAACTATCTTTGGCCGGGCCTTCTTCTCCGTCTGTATAGACACATTGATAAAAAACATATGTACATCACACAACTGTAGCTAAATAGTATTTCGCAAAGTCTTCATAGGGCTATTGAGAACATTAATTCGACAAATAACAACATGTCATTTTAACTTATCAATAAAAACATAGACATTATCAAACATACAATGAAGACGTTCAACCAGAAATCAATATTTGAAGAAGTCCCGTCGTCTAGACCTTGTAATTCCCAATGTATAATTGCGTCTCTTGTACTAGAATCCGACGATCGTGGGTTCTAAAACCAGAACAAGCCCGCGGTCGCGCGTTTAACAAAACCGGTAAACGTCTTGGAACTGCATTATTTGGGGTGTTCCTCCCACATTAACCTGGTACGCTGTGATATACTACTCAACAGATGTTTATGAAAAACTTTTTTTTTTCATTTTGTAGTCATATGAAAAAATCGGATGTCCTTTACTTTCTTTTGAGTTGTATAACAATCAAACACTGTCCTAAATGTTAAATCTAACCAATTAACCCTTTAAGTGAAATGTTTACATTGCATGTATCAGCCATAAATGTCAGTTATGAGGAGACATCCGCTAAATAATTCAAACATATCATTTCATTTATAAATATTACTATGGTTCACACACTTGGGTACGGAAAGGCACATTAAATACATCGAGGTAAACATCATCGATTAACGAAAATTGAAACACATAATCAAAAAACTATTCAAAACTCACGAATCGGGGTGAAACGATCAGATATGACAGAAAGCCGATTAAAAGGGTACGCATGCACTTTAAGTAGCATCCGTCGTAAGTGAAGGCAAAGCAACATTCCATGACAGTCAAGGTCATCGGAGGGTGTCGACCATGGAACTTTGTGGGGTTCATTTTCAGGTACGTCATTGAAGTTACAGAAGTAGTAGCTGGGAATGGGAAAATACAAGAACACAAGACGTCAAAAGCTGAATACTTCATGCTAGCCCTCGTACTCATCTTATGCGGCATATTTTCGAAAGTGTCCATAAATCAATAAATCAATTAATCAATTAAGAAAAAAGACAAAAAAGAGACACACAGTGAAAATTCGTACAACAGGTATAAGTAGGCTATGACATCCATCATCATACTTACATGTCATAGATTTAGGGGCCAGGACGAAAGTTCCATGCCGGATAAAGATATCATTCATATATTTTGGTGTGAGGCTAACAAGCCTGTACATGTACACATTGTATCCCACAAAAACAGCTTGTCAGGCGTTTTAAGTTCAAGTCAATAAAAACAGGTTCAAACAACAGACAAACTCGCACAACATATTTGAAAATGAACAGCATCGCCATCCTGCAGTTAAACAATTTGCGTGAAAAAGCAGTCACTGACAAACAGGCTAAATGGGGGTGAACATATCAAAGGAATAACATAACATATATATAGTACACCTCCAAAAGAAACGCGAAGATGTTCGGTGGGCAATATTATCGAACAGAAGTGGTGTGAACAAACATTTTTAATTAGACAAAATTGCATAAAACGTGGTTTGAGAACGTTTCAACTGACTTATTAAGTGCCCTGTCACCTGTCTCAAATAATAGCTGTTGCTTTTGTAGTTTGAGTTTAAGTTTGACACGAAAACACCACACCCTGTCCAGCTTACTAAAGCTTGATGGAGGTTGTCACGAGTTGCCAGGCACCTTGGTATCTATCATTCCACAACATACAGGCTTCAGGAACATCCGCATACGACAACATAACAGGTAATCAACCACGAAGCGGCCGATCTGGTGTCACGTCTTATCATTAAAACATTTTTTTTTCAATTGAATAAGACGAATTTGTCAATAAATGATGACGACCTCCAGAGTAAATTAAAGATTACCTGTCCCGAGGGTTTGAATGGTGCGAGCCCCGAGCCTTTGGTGGTAATTATTATTAAATAAATTACCAAACAGATTATTCATTGCAGCTTTAAGAAAGAAAATGAAGTGAAAGGTATGAACTGTCAAGCGTACAGAGTGTTCTTCCTCTCTATCTAGATACACTTGATTCAATCTCTGACAGAAGGACCCCGACAATGTTCAACTGTTTTACACCATTTCTTATCACGGCATCCTGCAGAAACAATTATTTGGAACAATTTGTTTAAATCCCAGGCTTGCCCCAGAATATCAAATGATCTGTAACATGCAACAGTTACTTCTTAAACTCATTTCTTTGTAAATCCGTGCCATACTGTACCATGCTCCTTCCTAAACGCAATCCCTTCTCAACACGTGTCACATAAATTGTTTACTTTGTCCAAAATGTTTACCAGTAGCACATGTATTGTCTGCACAGATATTGTGAACAGAATCCAACAAAGCTGGTGGCATTGCACTGTTCGAAATACAAAGGGCATTATACATACCAAATATCATTATCTATTTTTAACATTTTCTTTTTAATATTGTAATTTTGAGAAACATCATTGACATGCCAAAATGCCTAAAAACCATTCGATATGATCTGAATAAACGCAAATCTAAAGACTTTTGTAAAAAGCGTATACATCTAATGCGGACATTGACATACCAGCCAGCTCAGGTACAAGAACAATTATTACGGGTACGTCACACGCCTGTATTTGACGCACGTGCCATATCATAATGACTCTCGTCGGTGGTCATGTCGTCAGCCTCGCCCTGCGGCCGTGGTGGCAAAGACAACATTGGGTAGTTCTGACTTCGACCTGGAGCAGGTTGGGGTGTCAACGTGCACGCGTCTTCGTGAATAGTAAATGTTGCACCAGCATCTGAATCAAATAGATACTTTGTGTTTCTGTGGCAACAAGTTAATTAATCACATTACAATATCGAAAAGGCAAATTAAAATAATAACTTCCTTAATAAACCTTTTAAAGTGGCATTCGGAGGTTGGAATGATGACCAAGGGAGATAGTTCTAATGTTCACCGTCGTCAAGCAAGCTGGCATCGCTGGCTTGATAACGGTGTTGGTATCTGCACCGAAACGTCGCATTCATTGTAATGAAGAAGTTGTATATCCATAAAACTATCTTCCTTGTTCCTTAATGCAGTACGTAATGTTATTGGAAATGTTCCTTTGGTTAAAATTGTATAAATGGCTTTGTCGGTCAACTGATCATAGCTGGTATGATGCTAATCATTACATATAATTATACAGGACTCGTGGTGAATGAGTGAGTGGCAGAGTATGTTTTAAATAAAATCTAAATAAAAGTTTTCCATAATCATAAGAAATATCTGCTAAAGCATAGTCCATTGTACAATTCCAGCTATATCATACCATAGATTTTCAATTAATGATTTTAGTTATTTTTGTATTTATTTATTTAAATCATAACGTTAACATGGGATGAAAGTCGGGAGTGGTGCAGGCCAAAGAGGATCCTGGTATATTTATTGCCTACGATGTATAACGAATTGCAGGGTCTTAGACGGTTGGACCACTCATCCTCCCGTTAGCCAGTGAGACCACTAGGTTCAAATATAACTTTATGCCATCCTCTGAAATCTGCCCCGAAGTATGGAGGATACACCTTAGTTTGAACATTGAGCTACACATGTAGATTACCTGCTTCTGATTGGCGTCTTTTCCTATTCCTGACTACAACGACAACTGTGACGATAATGATGAATATGACGACAGCTGAAGATGCGGCTCCCACCGCCACGACAAAAGTGGAGCAGGTCTCTGAAACATGTGAGTGAATTGCACAGTAACATGTCGGCATAACACAACATAGCCATGCATTTGAAGGGCAGGGTCGGGAATAACACAGTTGTAACTTACATGCTACAATAGCCGCTACAATTAGGAGATACGCCGTCTTTATTTTAAAATTAGCGGTAGTATAAAGGATTTATACAAGCTCTAAATTTTATTTAAAACCGAACGCGTTTAGAGCTAGAGTTTTTAAAATAAATTTGAAATATCGAGAAACTAATCGAAATAATAAGAAAATAATCGCAGCGATGAGAAAGAAATCGAAGCAACGAGAAAAAAATTGAAATAACGAGTAAATAATTGAAGCAAGGATAAACGGAATCGAAATTTCGAGTTTTTGAAATAACGAGAAAATAATCGAAATTATCTAATTGGGACAATAACTTTCTATGATTTGCCTGTGGTTAATTGATTGAATGTAAAAGCGTGGACGAGTTTATCTCATATCACAGGTGAAACAGGTAACAGCCATGTTCACTCGTGCATCACTTTCTGAGCATCAGGCCGTATCATTTCATGATTTTACTGTAAGCAAAATGGCACTGTAAGCACATTGGGAAGACAACCAGGAAACAAAAGCCCACCCACTCACTCACGCGCTCACTTGTACGCCACCAACCCACTCACTCGATCACTCACTCACTCACTGGAGCATCTCACTCAAACACTCAGTCACTCACTCAAAACCCACCAAGCCGCTCACTCACTCACTCACTCACGCATCCAACCACTCAATGTTTTGCACTGAGACTCATCTCCTGTTTCAGTTGTATCTTCCTGCATGCAATCGACTTCTGTTGCTCGTTTTGACCTTTGTTAATACTGGAATATTTCCTTGTAAAATTCAATGGAGACGAATTGTATGTGATGTATATCATTATATATTGACAGTAGCGGGTGACCTCGCCTGTAGTAGCACTACCAAGCTTATGAACGTCAGACTGTTGCGTGATTACATTATCAACCGAGCGGAGAGATATGAAACAACTTTAGATTAATTCCTCAATGTCCAAAACAACAATTAACCATTGCTCCTTCCCTTCTTCAAATATAAAAGATTTGTAATCTCAATCTGTTTAACAGGATCTTACGACATGTTGTTGTCACACTGATGGATGTGTGGTTGCTGGAACCATAACCATTCAGTGCCAACATCTGAACAGTGTACGTCGTCTCAGCTTCAAGACCCTCGAGTTCCACTTGAAGGGCGTCGTCCTCACTCGGCATGGAGGGATGCGTGATCCATTGTCTGCTATCTTGCCTGTATTGGATTCTAAAGCTCTGTTTGGCGCCGCCATTGGAACCTTTTTCCCATGTTAAAGTTACGGACCGAGGCTTGACAGATGAAGCTTGCAGATTCCTTGGTACGTCTGGCTGAGCTGGAGAAGATTAAAAGCTTGAATCAGTAAAGTAAATCCTCCCTTTTCCGGATCCGGTAAGTCGTGCATCTCTGACTAGTTAATCAGGACATTTGTTAATTCGGATGATTTCAAAAGGAAGAGTACCATCCCGATAAAAGAGGTTTCACTGTATATTAGTATATAGACTATAAGTGGAAAATAAGGGATTTTATGTACATACAACAACACAATGTATTGATATGTTTTACGTATTATGGTGTGATTTATTTGAACCAGTATTTCAAACGTCATCTTTTTCATTTTGAAAGAAATATATTAGTGGATAACATATCTGCAGATGGAATCCTATAGCTTTTTGGGAAGTGTATATTTCTTTGAAATAAAAGGCATGGCATGATAAGGGTCCTTTTGGTCCTTGCTGGACATAGTAATATGACTAAACTGTTGGCTTTTCCATACAAACACTTGTCTTACTTATATCCAAGTTATATCCAAATCGGTTTTGGTGTATCTTGGTCAAAACAGACATCAAAGCAACAATGAATTTGACTTGAGTATTTTTGGAAGAGTGAGTGAGTGAGTATGGTTTTACGCCGCTTTTAGCAATATTCCAGCAATATCACGGCGGGGGACACCAGAAATGGGCTTCACACATTGTACCCATGTCGAGAATCGAACCCGGGTCTTCGGCGTGACGAGCTAACGCTTTAACCACTAGGCTACCCGACCGCCCCTATTTTTGGAAGATGTCGTAAAGCAAATGATAGAGCGGGCCACTATCCCGGGTGTAGAACATGGTAGAATGAAACGGGATCTGGATACGCATTATCCACCATGCCTCCAAACCGACTTCAATCTACATCAGGGGCGGTCGGGTAGCCTTGTGGTTTAAGCGTTCGCTTGTCACGCCGAAGACCCGGGTTCGATTCCCCATATGGGTACAATGTGTGAAGCCCGTTTTCCGGTGTCCCCCGCCGTGATATTGCTGGAATATTGCTAAAAGCGGTGTAAAATTGTACTCACTCACTCACTCAATCTACATCACGTTCTAAAAACTAAAAATAACTACCACACAAACTATTCTCTCATCTCATTCTAGAAACAAATATTACATCACATAAACCAACCATTTCAAATATCCGCTACAATCTACATTACATTCTAGAAACAAGTACAACATCACATATTATATCTCATACCTATTATATTCCAGGGCTGCAATATTTCATCGAGTTGACAAAAACCGGGATTAAATAAGTTTGTTCATCAAGTTCATTGAACACCATTGAAGCCATATCACTCACTGACTCACTGACTCACTAATAATGTGAAACTCTAAGAACTTTTGTAATTAGTCTACGGTACTATAATCTGCCGTGTGAAGACCGGAAATATACCATTTCATCAACTTCATCAACGTGATCAAATCTGCAAGGACAGCAACGAGGTCCATCACATGGAGACAGAACAACTCACATGGAGACAGAACAACTCACATGGAGACAGAACAACTCACATGGAGCCAGAACAACTCACACGGAGACAGAACAACTCACACGGAGACAGAACAACTCACATGGAGACAGAACAACTCACATGGAGACAGAACAACTCACACAAGGACAGAACATCTCACATAGAGACAGAACAACTCACATGGATACAGAACAACTCACACGGAGACAGAACAACTCACACGGAGACAGAACAACTCACACGGAGACAGAACAACTCACATGGAGACAGAACAACTCAAACAAGGACAGAACAACTCAAACAAGGACAGAACAACTCACACGGAGATAGAACAACTCACATGGAGATAGAACAACTCACATGGAGACAGAACAACTCACACGGAGACAGAACAACTCACACGGAGATAGAACAACTCACATGGAGACAGAACAACTCACATGGAGACAGAACAACTCACACGGAGACAGAACAACTCACACGGAGACAGAACAACTCACATGGAGACAGAACAACTCACACGGAGACAGAACAACTCACATGGAGACAGAACAACTCACACAAGGACAGAACAACTCACACGGAGACAGAACAACTCACACGGAGACAGAACAACTCACATGGAGACAGAACAACTCACACAAGGACAGAACAACTAACACGGAGACAGAACAACTCACATAGAGACAGAACAACTCACACGGAGACAGAACAACTCACACAAGGACAGAACAACTCACACGGAGACAGAACAACTCACACGGAGATAGAACAACTCACATGGAGACAGAACAACTCAAACGGAGACAGAACAACTCACACGGAGACAGAACAACTCACACGGAGATAGAACAACTCACACGGAGACAGAACAACTCACATGGAGACAGAACAACTCACACGGAGACAGAACAACTCACACGGAGACAGAACAACTCACATGGAGACAGAACAACTCACATGGAGACAGAACAACTCACATGGAGACAGAACAACTCACACGAGGACAGAACAACTCACACGGAGACAGAACAACTCACACGGAGACAGAACAACTCACATGGAGACAGAACAACTCACACAAGGACAGAACAACTCACACGGAGACAGAACAACTCACATAGAGACAGAACAACTCACACGGAGACAGAACAACTCACATGGAGACAGAACAACTCACATGGAGACAGAACAACTCACACAAGGACAGAACAACTCACACGGAGACAGAACAACTCACATAGAGACAGAACAACTCACACGGAGACAGAACATCTCACACAAGGACAGAACAACTCACACGGAGACAGAACAACTCACACGGAGATAGAACAACTCACATGGAGACAGAACAACTCAAACGGAGACAGAACAACTCACACGGAGACAGAACAACTCACACGGAGATAGAACAACTCACACGGAGACAGAACAACTCACATGGAGACAGAACAACTCACACGGAGACAGAACAACTCACACGGAGACAGAACAACTCACATGGAGACAGAACAACTCACATGGAGACAGAACAACTCACATCGAGACAGAACAACTGACACAAGGACAGAACAACTCACACGGAGACAGAACAACTCACACGGAGACAGAACAACTCACATGGAGACAGAACAACTCACACAAGGACAGAACAACTCACACGGAGACAGAACAACTCACATAGAGACAGAACAACTCACACGGAGATAGAACAACTCACATGGAGACAGAACAACTCACATGGAGACAGAACAACTCACACAAGGACAGAACAACTCACACAGAGAGAGAACAACTCACATGGAGACAGAACAACTCACACAAGGACAGAACAACTCACACGGAGACAGAACAACTCACACAGAGACAAAACAACTCACACGGAGACAGAACAACTCACATGGAGACAGAACAACTCACATGGAGACAGAACAACTCACACAAGGACAGAACAACTCACAGGGAGACAGAACAACTCACACGGAGACAGAACAACTCACATGGAGACAGAACAACTCACACAAGGACAGAACAACTCACACGGAGACAGAACAACTCACATAGAGACAGAACAACTCACACGGAGCCAGAACAACTCACACGGAGACAGAACAACTCACATGGAGACAGAACAACTCACAGGGAGACAGAACAACTCACACGGAGACAGAACAACTCACATGGAGACAGAACAACTCACACGGAGACAGAACAACTCACATGGAGACAGAACAACTCACATGGAGACAGAACAACTCACACACACAAGGACAGAACAACTCACACGGAGACAGAACAACTCACGCGGAGACAGAACAACTCACATGGAGACAGAACAACTCACACAAGGACACAACAACTCACACGGAGACAGAACAACTCACATAGAGACAGAACAACTCACACGGAGACAGAACAACTCACATGGAGACAGAACAACTCACACGGAGACAGAACAACTCACATAGAGACAGAACAACTCACATGGAGACAGAACAACTCACATGGAGACAGAACAACTCACATGGAGACAGAACAACTCACATGGAGACAGAACAACTCACACGGAGACAGAACAACTCACACGGAGACAGAACAACTCACATGGAGACAGAACAACTCACATGGAGACAGAACAACTCACATGGAGACAGAACAACTCACATGGAGACAGAACAACTCACATGGAGACAGAACAACTCACATGGAGACAGAACAACTCACAGGGAGACAGAACAACTCACACGGAGACAGAACAACTCACACGGAGACAGAACAACTCACATGGAGACAGAACAACTCACATAGAGACAGAACAACTCACATGGACAGAACAACTCACACGGAGACAGAACAACTCACATAGAGACTTCAGCACAACGTTCAGCATCCAGGTCCCCTCCGTGTTTGTCACGTTCACTGTGTAGTTTGTCAAGTCCTCTTCTTGGACTTCTAAGATGGTTAAACTTCCTGTTACACGGAAATCAACGACTGTGACATTGGTGTTAGTGAGTGGCTTCCCCATTGGTGATTTACTCCACGTGACTGTTGGCTCAGGGAAAGCTATGGCAGTGAGACTTAGTGTGACGGTTCTATTTAGAGCTGACCTGAACACAGGTCCACCCGGTGTAGATCCATATGGTCTTGGGGCACCTGAATAAAGATAGAACAATATAGTAATGCCAACTTCGCATCATAAATGTAAGTCGGCCATATTACCTTCCATACACATAAACGAATCAGTTTCACGGCATTATGTTCATATAGAAACGTCTTACAATGTCAAAGAATTATGGATAACATACCATACCGCCGGAGCAGGGATAAAATAAAATAGGGTTTAACGTCGCGTTCAAGATTAATGCATTCATATAACCAAGTGCCTGCATGCGTGCGCGCGTGCGTGTGCGTGTGCGTGTGCGTGTGCGTGTGCGTGTGCGTGTGTGTGTGTGTGTCTGCGTGTGTTTGTGTGGCTGCTTGTACTAGTCCGGACTAAGTTATTAGTTCTAGCTTACTGAGATACCATGCCGCAGTTTAACATGAATACCCCACCCAGACAGAGTATACTTACTCCGAGCCGACCAGTCCTTGTTTTAGCCCCGTAATGCCGAGCGCCAGGCAGGGTAACAACAGCTACCATCTTTTAACGTCTTCTGGTATTACGCGGCCGGGGATCGAACCCCGGACTTTCCGCTCTCCAGGCGGACCCACCAGAACAGAAGTGCATGTCGTTCACGAAGTACATGCACCGTTGTAAAGTGAGAAAATAAAACATGTTTGCCGTTTTAAAGACCACAGCCTCTGTGATCTCACGATAACTCATGTAGCTTAGAAAAATGATTGATTTTAACAATGTTATAAGCTGCGTCTTGGATGAGGATAACCGGTAGAAGAATAGATACTGATGCTGCCGACCAACACTCCTAGCCCATACAGCGTACAAGAACGTAATTATTTTACTGATGTGGGAAACCAAGTACCAACTGTACAATGATCACTGGACAATACGACTTTGCCTTTTGTTGGTTACCCAAGTTGCCATGTAGGAGTAACTGGTGACGCGATGGCTGATGCTGAAGCAAAAGTAGCTCTTAACAAATCGGTGACACCATTTCTACTATAGGTTATACCTACTTGGGTATTTGAAGAGGTTATTCTAGGAACGACGATGTCGCATTGGTCAAACTAGACATACACATAATTATTTGTAGAAAGTTGAGAATTCACCTATGTATACCTTGTGGTGTATAAGAGATTCACAGTGAAGACTCGTTTGCTGGAGCCAAGACAAGGGTTTAGTATTTCAAAGTTTTATCTCTGAATGATAGTGTTACTACCGTGAGGATTAACATTACTCAATCATTATCTTTTCTTAAAGAACTGAAGTAACCGACCCATTTGAATTAACATATGTTCTGTATAAGGTAACTAATAGCTTAAACTGTAGTAGGATATATTCAACAACTGAGCTTCATTGTGGCTTAGACCTCGAAGGAGGTTGAAGCGTCGTAAAATAATTTTCCTCGTGCACCATATGGGGCAACACTTCCTTAAAACTATTTTATTTCTGCCTCTGTTATGATCGCATTGTTATTATTGTTGTTTAATTTGGAACAAACTTGCCAACAAAGGCAAGCTACAAAAGGAATGATCTAAAACTATGGGTAGAGTACAGATATCAGGGGAACCTTACTATTGTTGCCTGAATTATATATTGCGACGTTGTGTATTAGTTCGATGTTTTTATCCCCCGTAGTTTTGTGGATAGAGCGTCTGCCCGGGAGCGGGCTCCTCATTGTCTTGATGGCTACTCAATCAATAATATACATTAGTTGATACTCGATATATACCCCTTTCTGATATCTACTTCAATTCAGTGTATTCACGAAGGCTATCAAATCAATAATCCAGATATAGGACGTCAAGAGACGATACTTGCATTTTACTTGTAATGATATGTTTCGTTCCACAGCTTTCCCGATCACATTCCTTGCAGAGCAGGTGTATAGCCCTGTTTGACGACATCCAACATCCTCGATACTCGCTTCGACTGTCTCGCTGTTAGCCCCACTTCCTATACTGGATGTCTTGTTCCTGATCTCTATAGTAGAAGCAGGAATACTGCTGATGTCACATTGCAGTGTCACATTGTCGTGTTCCGTCACGGTCACGTCTCTGTCCCCAGACGTGACACCAAAATACTGGATATCCGGAGCATCTGGAACACCACCACAGGCACATGAATTATTTGATCAATCAAACAGGTAAACACAACCAACACTTACTCAGACACGGTGCACTGACTACGAGCCCACCACTTCTTGTTATATCGTCTTAAGCGTTCGCTCGTCACGCCGAAGACCCGGGTTCGATTCCCGACATGGGTACAATGTGTGAAGCCCATTTCTGGTGTCTCCCGCCGTGATATTGCTGGAATATTGCTAAAAGCGGCGTAAAACCATACTCACTCACTCACTATATAGTCTTAATACCGAGTGCGAGGCAGGTCAAAACAAGTACCATCTTTTGGTATGACGCAGCCGGATGAACCACTGACATTCCGCTCTCTGGGCAGACACTCAATCCACTACACCACGGGAGCGAATCAAATATTGAATATCATGTGGAAACTACATGCATATGCAGCATAGTCAGTAAACACTATTGATCAAAATACAAGTATTTTTATTTAAGCAAGTTTAGTTACATCATTCTCGATCTATACCTTTCATATTCGGTCAACTTTTAAGCAAAGGAGATACTACATAGGACATGCCGCTTACATTGCACCTCCAATGTTATATTTGAAGATGATTGTTGGGTGTGTCGTGTCCCATTACATGTCAGAACCGTGTTGGACGCTGCGCAAACATACACTCCTGCATCAGTTTTCTGTATGTCCTTCAGATGTAGAGTACCATTCATAGAGATCCCACCATCTGCACCTTCCTTTGTCCAAACTATAGACGTCGCTTCCGGGTTCGCATCTGCTATACAGCGGATAGTCAAATCTTCCGACACCTTTACGACTCGCAGGACATCGTCAATGTGAACGACTGGCGGATCTAAAATAGGAATTCAGTATAACTGAACACTACTGTTACTTTTGAATAAAGGGGGCAAAACACTGAATAGACATTGAACTGATTCCCCGATTTCTTGCTGAACCGGGGCGGTCGGGTAGCCTTGTGGTTAAAGCGTTGGCTCGTCACGCCGAAGACCCGGGTTCGATTCCCGACATGGGTACAATGTGTGAAGCCCATTTCTGGTGTCCTCCGCCGTGATATTGCTGAAATATTGCTAAAAGCGGCGTAAAACCATACTCACTCACTCACTCTTGCTGAACCATTTGCCATATTGATGCAACAACCTTATTCATTCACGTATTTGCTGATTGAAGTAAAGCAACGAAGCATTAGCAGCACATGCATAGTTGTAACAGGATGATATTTTCATTGGGCCATGCTATCTACATTATTCTTTAAAACTGACAGATAGTTTTCCTTTCAAACTTGCAACAACCGAACAACAACTAAGCCACCATTACATTGGTGATTCTCGTGGCTGGAGAGAGTGAGATAACTGATTCTTCACATCGACTGAAACACCGTTCTCCCAAAGTGGTGACATGATGTTGTGAAACCAAGAAGGCCCGAGTGTACATTACATATGACATTTAGTCACACTGTCCTCTCCAAGTGGCCATAAGTCTTTGTGACAGGCATGAGTTAGTGAGTTTGGTTCAACGCCGCTTTGAACAGTTCAGCTTGTCAACATACTGTGATGGAGGTCTTAAGCATTTACCCATTTAGTGAAACCCTCGAGCACGGTCATGGTGCTGACAAAACTACAAACGTAATCAGGGTGAAGCGGGATTCGAACCCCGATCATAAGTTTCTCGCACGACTAAGGTGCGCAGCTTGAACAGCGAATTGTGGCGCCCTGAGTACTGGACCACAACAGTTAGTACTTACACTGCACCTCAACTGTAACACTGTCTTCTCCAGGGGTGGATACGCCATTGTCAGCTACACATCTGTAGTGCCCGGAACTGGATCTGAACACTCTTGGAATGTTGTAAAGCTGATCTCTGCCAACAATGTTCCCTCCATGGTACCAGGTAAAGTTAGATGGGGAAGGTTTTGCTGCTGTGACGAAACAATTCAAAGATACATTCGTCTCATCCGCGGGGAATATGTATCCGGTGCATGGCTCCACGGGGCGTATGTCCAGGGAGGGCGGATCTGGAAAAATGTTGAGAGCCATAAGCTGAATTACCTAAGTACAGTAAACTACGGTTATAACGAACACGCTTATAACGAACTGACGGATATAACGAACTTACTTACGTAAATTTAATTGTACTGGTCAAATACGGAACAGCAGTTGAAACTTGTAAGTAATTATCACAAATTTGTCATATTATTTGTCTCATCACATCTTATTCAATTGAGGAAAATGTGTTTGCAATATTCACTGTCTCCATAATACATGTCTTATTTCAGTGTCTGGCAATCTTGCAAATGAAAGCATTATTTAAGCATATTCTCCAGAGAAAATGGAGCTTCGTTGAATAATGATGCAACGTTTAAAGAAGAAACTACTTTAATGACGAAAATAGTTTCTACACACAAGAAGCCTAGGCATTGTCACGCGGTTTTGGACTTAACGCTCCAGCTGGAGTTAAGCCAAATGGGTGGCGTGTT